TGTTCGATATTATACGTACGCGATGGATGAGAGTATACGAAAGGAATTCCTCTCGCACTGTTTGTCTTCTGATTTACCTGTTCTAAGATAGATGAGTTTTCTTGGGGAATCCATATCCGGAGCTTTCGGCTAATCAAAACCTGGCCCGTAAGGCAGCGGGGCGTTGTGAGAAAACCGTAATCCGTTGGGGGCCTGTGTCTATCTAGTTCATCGGATCATACGCCCTTTGGACAAGGTTAGACGTCTAAGGTGTCCAATTGAGTCGGTGATCACTGTCACAATCAGGAAGGTATGTGTTCCGTACGCCTCTTCTTGGTTGGTTTGAAATCAGGGTTTTTGGCCAACACCTTTAGGTGAACTCTCATGCGTTTATAGTCCCGGATTTTGGCTTGTCGTCCTCCGAACTTTAGCTGGAAAACAACTTCGCCACGAGAAGGAGGCAATGAGTAAGGCTTCCTCGGGCGAGGGTATTTGAGACACTTGGTCTTATAGGAGCATCTGGTGAGATGTAAGCGGAAGATGACCAGCCACAATCCACAATATCCACCCCAACCATACTGAGGGATGAATTGTGAAAGCAAATATCACAGTGAGTTTTTGAAAATTCACTTTCTTTATTTTTGTACCCAGCCATCGTGCTTATCCAACAGGTTAGGTGTCCTTGGCATTTTTCTATGGTTGTTGTTGTTGTTGTTGAATTTCGTGACGTGCTCACGGATTGCACATGAGCCTCGCACTAGCGCACGTTTTTGACACGTACTGTAACCAACAGCAGATCGAGTGAAACCAAGGATCTTTTCCGTTTCTTAATTTATACTCCTCCTCTCGTTTGGATACAATCGATGAAGTGAAACGGTTTCATGTGGAATCAATATGCCCCTCTCAACACGGAATCGCCTGATACGTTTAGCATGATCTTGTTTTGCTCTAATTTTTGGGAAGGGGGGAGAGAGACGTGAACAATCATCAATCAAGCAAACCATGTCCAACAGATTGGAATTTGGTAAATGGTCATTACAACACTGAAAATTGAATCCAATAGACGAAATACAGTGTTTTTCGATAATTCATCAACTCACGGATAACAGTTTGAAGNGTTTGAAGTCCTAACCTTAAATGTTCAAGATTCGAGTCCTGACAAGGGAACACAAAAAGTATGCACTGCTGACGAGTCTCAAACAGGACGAAACAGATCTGTCCAGTGTTCCGTGTTGATCATCACAAACATATCCATCGCTAATACATGCATTCAACTAGTGAGGAATCACGATCACCCAAGGAGTGAAACCCAGACCCAAGATCATCAACAGTGCCGGGTTCCTGTTATACAGGTAGAGCATTTAATATTGTTTGGTCCACCGCCAGTCAGCACACCAGAAAATATATATCAGCAAGCCATGTTTACTATGTGTGTCATGCCCGGACAACTGGGCAGCCATTCGACTGGTCGAGGTTTATTCAACCGCAAGCTTGCCTTACGTAATCCCCACAAGCCATCTGCAGCTGACCCGAGTATCGTAATCAAATCGGAATCGACTATTCGTTCAATGACATTTCAGTAGTTCCTCATAGTCTGTGAAAAATGTCTTCCAATTATCCGTAGGACTGATTCTCTTTCGATTTCATAAGAAGCACAAACACTACCCGTATGGGGGTCGGATGGTGAATCGATGGTGTCGAACTATTCACGGTTGAGACCCGGATTATGTCTAAATGTCCTAAATAAAATCTGGAGGGAATGAAATCAGATTCAACACAATACGAGTCACTACAACGGTAATTTAAAAATAAAATCCGGTAGGCGAAACAAGCTTCTGTTCGACAATTCATCAACTGGTCATTTACAATTGTATAGGTAAAGCATTCAATATTGTTCGATCCAGTTCAAGGTCGATCTTTTTAATGGTTAAAGTACGCACCGATCACGGATAAAAAATGAGGAGTGAAGAATGACGGACGCCACGTAAGCACTGATTCATACTGGCACTTGTACAACAGTATCCCACATAACCGGGATTCAAGGAAATGGCCTTAGGAGTTTCAGTTCATTTATTGAAAGAAATCATAGGGTTTAGAAACAATATGTACACAAGAAATTCATTGGTCGTCCAGGCATCTACCAATCGTATTCCTGGCGTCGTATATTTTCTATCTGGGCCGTGCGGCTTCTGATTGGTCGGTACAATCGGTTCGTAGTCCGGAAACTGTAACACGTAGGCGGTTTACTAGTGTCATCTGAGAAGTTTGAGTCTTCATAGTTGTCGGGAAACTGTAACATGTCATCCGGTAAGCTAAGATCACCACAATCTTATTTCACTGTGCATCAACATTTTGATTGAGCCCCTCCTCCTTTGGTTACGACATTCTTCCAGTTACCATGCTCGAATCAGCTTTTTGCTTGACAATTATTCATGATAGCGATAACGCATGGACGAAACGCTTCTGCCTGCTTAGTGTAGTGTATAGTCATGCAGTCTGATTCCGATAGCTTCAACCGCACACAGAAGGATCAATCGTACTAATTCGGACGACAACGGCGAAAGACGATAACCGGTTTTGGACTTTCGATTTACGACGTGCAATTGGCGCTTAGTTTCAAGCAGGCTCATCACTCTTTTCACTGTCCTTGTTACTCCGGTTACCAATCCACGATAGTGGTTGTGATGATCCTAGCCTACGAGAGGACGCATACCATGGAGCAATACGTTACAGTTTTAGAACAGCTGTGATCAATCAAGCTTCACGGGTGACCTCAGCAAAGCACGTGCGTGCCACAGCTTTCGGATTCCATTCCATAGGTCAATTGTACCAGCCAATCAGAAACCGTGCGACCCAGACAGAAGCTGTACTACGCCAGAAATACTAGCATGCGATTGTCAGAGGCCCGGATGACCAATAAGCTTGTTTTGTAAATATTATTCAATCCCCTTTATTTCTTTCAATAGACGAACTATCACTCCTGTGGCCCTTTTTCCTCGCGTCTCGGTTACGTGGGATATTGTCAGCAAGTACCAGTGTGGTTTAGTGCTTACACCTGATCCGTGATTTCTAATTCGTGATTCGTATTCTGTGTTCGGTGCGTACTACTACCACAATTACTATAACCACTACAGTGGTATTCGCTTATTCTCTCTTTGCTAGTTGTCTTATTGTGCGGTCTACATGGCTAGCTCCACAAGACCAAGTAAACACATATGGAAGTGGCCTGATGTTCAAATCTACTTTTAAGATTAAAAAGAATTGCACGCAGCGTACATGAACTGATACGCTGTGATGCCGTAGTGAATGTTCTGTTTATCGTTTGGCTTGTAGTTCATGTCACCCAATCCACCGTCTTGTCACCGTTGTGTACGGTAATTGGTGGCTCAGGGATTTCGTAACTATCGTAGACACCTCTGGTTTAGTCGCAGTTTCTATTAGGTGTTTTTTCTGGTGTTTGGTCTGGATAACCAATCACGTGTAATATATTTCTTATTTGATTTCTTTTTGTCGAATTGAGGTATCCGGGGTGCAGACAGGTTCTCTGTGCTCGTTTTGCTCGATAGTGTGACAAGGGTTGTTTTCATTTGATTGATGCGAAACTACTGAATTTGATGTATTGTCATGCCTGAATTGATTAGCTGGAGACGCATCCACGGATCAATCTGTCTGGGTTTTGCGCACATCTATAGAAACGAAATGCAGCCGTTCCTTTCTACTTTGGTACCTAAAGCTGTTTAATCGATGAGCAGTGTTTAATGATATCATTATTCCATCCGAGTGAACATTTTCATCAGCAAAAAGGCATGCAATGTCAACGTATCTGCAGTACATTTTTAAGTCATCGATTANGCTGATTTTCTCGTACATATATTGACCATTAGTGGACCGAAAGGTAAACCCATAGCTAATCAAATGAGTTGTCTATACACCTAATTGTTGACTATGAATCGTACATCAAATGTGCATCGGAGTAATAATTCCTAGAAATTATCCAATGGTATCCCAATGTGCAAATGATGAATTTTTGTAAAGATTCAAAGATATTTGATAGTTTCCAATAATGAGACGTTCGGTAAGCGATGTTTGCCGAGGGAAGTAGCGACTGGCGGTCAAACCAAGCCCTAGCATAAGGGTATGAAAATCCTAACGAAGCGACCGGGTCACATAGGCCCTGTTAGACTCCCCGATTGGGGACTCCGCGATCACAGTCAAAGATGATTGGAGACACTGAATGATATGGCTGGGTGTCGCAAACAGTGGTGATCATGCAGTTACGCATAATTCTCTTAAGAACAGTCTATATGAATTTTCTATCGTCCGTTTGAATTTGCTTTCAACACTCAAATCTTCTTCCCGCTATTTTGTCCAAATGAACGGCCAAGAGACGTCAACCGAAACCGGTACACGAAAGGGCATGGTTAATGGTTGTAAGAAATGAACTGAACTGAGTTGAATGACACGTTAGTGAGCAAAGATGTGGCGTCTAAGAAACACAAAAATTGTGAAGAGATGTTTAGATTCTTGATTTGATTAACAAAATGGAAAGTATCTTTCAGACTGTGAGTCGATATCTTCTTCCCGATGGGATCGAGCAGTTGAGCCCACCATTTCACTTTGACGTGATGCGATGAGTTTGGCACATATAGTATCCGCTTCCATGATAGATTAAGCTTGTGCAACTTAGGGTGTCCAGACTGATCTATTCAAAGTGCTATCTACCCATACGGATTGTCCGCATAGAAGCCGTACAGTTTGCTTCATTCCAGTACTACATGATTCAACTCCCGTTTGTCATAAGTAAACCAAACATGCCGGATTTCCGACTAAAATGTAACGGAAGATAGTTCCGAGATTATTTATTATTATTATTATTATTATTATTATTATTTTCAGTCCTTTGCTTCGGTTTATGTCTTTCACTCTCTCTGTCGTGAAAGTAACTGTTAGGATAAATTTGTTACGCTTAATTAACGAGAAAATACAAACACAGATTATTGTTTATCATATTCCATCTACAGGATCTGTTCAACAAGGCAGAAGAAGAACTAACCGGACCGATTGCTTTCATCCACCAGTATGTGAATATGACCTCAGTTCCGGTCATATATAAGGTAGGTGTTATTCGGGTTTGGGTTCAACCCCAATTAACTCGCACCTCGGATGTGTAGCAATTCAATGGGACCACATGCAAACCGGCCATGGGATATAGTTTTGCTGCAGGGACAATGGATGGTCCGGGAGATTTTGACTTCTCCCAAGGTAATCTTCCGCGAATTCCGGAACATTTGATCCCTTCGGTTTTAGGTTCCACTTCTGGCACATTGTTTTGGGACTTTGTTCGAAATTTGTTGAAAAAGCCCAGTAAAGAGCTGGTTGAATGCCAGTCGCCGAAACCTATTTTACTGGCAACTGGCGAGGTTTGTTTCTCAGTCGTTTCACAGTGCATTTTGTCTGGCTATTGAACATACTGCACGTATCTTCTTAAATGTGTTCTTCGCAAAACAAATTAAGATCATAACAAATGTTGTAGGGGGGGGGGTAGTTTAAACCCAGAACAAGATATTCTTATTGTCTTAACTCATCTCCAAAGTTCGATTTCGATGGAAAATGAGGATGATCACCACTACCATCACCATCACCACCAACAACGACAACAACAGCAACACCAACATCACCACCACCCTCAACACCGTATTTTGTTAATCGCTATCTTTCTTAATTTTGCTTTACTGCAATAATACGCAATCACACAATTTTTCGTTTATACCTAGCTCAACCTTCCGGTACCATGGCACCCACAGATTGTGGAAACGCAAATTTTACGAATCGGCAATTTACTGATTGCAGCTCTGCCCGGTGAATTTACAACCATGTCTGGAAGACGTGTAAGAAACGCAATCCAAAAGGTCTGTTGCTTTGAATTGCTTTCTTTGTGCTACTTAGACCCATCGAAACAGTCTTAATAATTTAAATCCTCGAAACTATGATATATGTATATATGATTATCAGCAGTATGTGGATGACTGAAAAAAATTTACCTGGAAGCACACAACCGATTTAGTGATTCTTGCCGCTCGTCAGGCATGCGTATACGGTAGTCTTCTTTCAGTTCATTCATATCCTTGTACCCAGGGAGTGTATTTTCATCTCAATACCCTTGTTTGCCACATCGAGTGACCATTGGATAGATAGCTCTTTCAGAGCCAGTCCAATGAAGAATCAGTGGTATAACTGGATGTTTTTATAAGTGGGTTAGATGCTACTAACCACAACAAACGTGACCTGATGGTCTTGGTAGAATATTTGATAATAAGTAGTGTGTGAATATATATATATATATTTATGTATATATCAGTTCCACGGGGCACATAATGAGAACAGAAATTGGCAAGAAAACACGTTTGTAAACGTGACCGAACTTTTCCACCCCCTGTATATAGAGTTAAAATACGACTGTCTAAACACGTGCGGTTTCGCACTCTAGCCACAACGGAGGTAGTTAGCATCCGTCTTCAAAACGCCTTTCTGTTTGCTCAGAAAATGTTGTGCAAGCACTCAAGCTCCCATGGCCGGATTACCGATA